TCACATCTGAATCACACAGATTAACGTGTTAAAAGTTAATTCTGCTTTTCCATTTTTCTGAATCTTTGGTAAGGAGATTGATATAAATGCAAATTATTTGGGAAGGGTTGGGTTTCTTGTGTTTTATATTTCCTCTTACATCTTTTTTGTGTGTGCATGTTCTGCACATGTGGGTATGTATGTTTGGTAAGGAAATGAGAATAACGTCAGTGTTTCTCCTCAAGCTCTGTCCACCTTTTATTTTCAGACAGTCCCTTAGGTCTAGAACTGGCTGAGTAGGCCAGGCTGGCCCTTGAGGTCTACTTCCCATCACTGGGATCCCTGCTGGGTGTCAGCCAGTCTAGCTTGCTTCTGCAGATTCTGGACATTGAACTCTGTTCTTCATGAGGCACTTAACTGTTTTCCCAAACTCCTTCACTTGCATGCTTTAAAATGAATAAATGTAAGCAGGTTTAGTTTGTCACGCCTGTAATCCCAGTACTTGGGATACTTGGGTCAAAGGATCCCTGTAGCCTGGGCTACAAAGTGAGCTAAGGGTGTAGCCCCATCTCTAACCCACCTCAGTGAATAAAGATGGTGATGTGCATCATCTTCCTGCTCTGGAGGGCTTTCCTGTTTATATCTACCCTGTTAGAAAAAAGTGGAAATTGTCACGTGGGATTCTTACTTTTTATTCATACATATTAATGATATACCTTAGGATTTGCATGGTATAAGCATGTCAAACTCCTGGTTCTGCTGATGCCATTTTAGCATTTTAGATACTTAATGATCAAGTGCCCAAAACAGTCATAAAAAACAAAACAAAACAAAAAAACAGGAATGCATTGGAGGATAGAGGAGAGAAATAAAGAAGAGGAATAAAGCATTGTCCTTGTTTCAGAAAATGAAACAAGCACTTAGTGATGAGTGTTAAATATTTATTAATTTTTTTCTGAAAATAACTAATATTGCCAAATATACTATTTGATTTTTACAGCAGCAAGCTCTAGAACAAGCTTTGGATCGTGCAGAGGTGAGACATGACTAATTATAACTGACCATAGAATTCTAAAATTGTTTTTCTATCCTGATAAGTTTCTCTAAACTATCTTAAAATATGGGTCATTGCAGTCTGATGTCCAATTTAAAAATAAATTTAGCTATAAAACGTTTAGAATATATTCATCCTGTGGAATTGCAATTTCCGTACTGAAATACTAGGTTGAGTCCTACTGGGATTTAAATTTTGTTTCTGACCTGTATACAAGGTATAAGTTCATGCATGACAGAGCCTAAGAGACTAAATGGGTTTTTCAGCCTAACCTGTTGCAGATGTACAGTATACTTATAGTTGCTCATATAAAAGCTGAATACACAGTGTTTGACTGATTTCTCTATTTCAGTATATTGTTGAAAGTGCTCGGCAGAGACCTCCTAAAAGGAAATACCTATCTAGTGGAAGGTATGACTGTTTAATTGATAACGTCTTTGAGTCAGTGAAATGAGATAACTACCACTTATGTGTTCTTACTAGGCATTTCAAGTGCTTTCAGTTCTTTGGACAGGTTGGGCATCCCTGACCTGGAAATGAGATACTCCAAAATCTAGAACTTAGGAATCATGATGGAATGTCACAAATGGACATTTTCACATCTAACTTAGGTGACAGTTTATAGTTAGTGTGTTGTCACAGTAAAAAGTAGTATATAAAATTGTCTTCCATGTCTTTCTATAAATGTGTATGAGCCTACACTATAGCCTCATATTTAAGAAAGTGAAGAAGTCCAAAACAGTGCAGATCTCGATCATTTTAGATAGTGCTGAGATGCTCAGATTGCATTAAGAATTCTTAAATTGAAGGCCGGGCGGTGGTGGCGCACGCCTTTAATCCCAGCACTCGGGAGGCAGAACCAGGTGGATCTCTGTGAGTTCGAGGCCAGCCTGGGCTACCAAGTGAGTTCCAGGAAAGGCGCAAAGCTACACAGAGAAACCCTGTCTTGAAAAAACAAAAAAAAAAAAAAAAAAAAAAAAAAAAGAATTCTTAAATTGAGCCAAGCAATGTAACATACATGCCTTTACCATATTGAATTGGTGTTGTACAGGAATTAACAGCCATATTGATGTGGAAACATTGAAATTAATGTCTTGTCATGTTTAGGGGGGTGGATAATGTACTAAATTAAAGTCTTATCTACAAAGTTTTGTTACAGAACTGAAATATTTACATTAATGAAAAGTAAGTAAAATACTTCATGATGATTATTTACCTTGTATATTTATTATTTTTTTCCCTAGAAAGTCTATATTCCAAAAACTTTATGACTTGTATGTTGAAGAATGTGAAAAAGAACCTGAGGTTAAGGTAAATATAAATTCTTTATATTACTGGGCTTTGGAGTTGTGGTAGAAGGGGAAAGTTTAGAACATTATGTTTGAAGCAGCTAGTGATTTATATCTTCGTGGTTGAACATCTTTGTCAACTAGACTCCATTCAGTTCTTTGGCTGACCCAATTCCATTCTCTGGTTAATCTGCTTGAGTTAGTGGTGGTCTGGGTAGTGGGGCATCATTAACAAAGCCACAGTGTGTCTTCTGTTATCTTCCTCTGAGAACTGGGTTTGCAGACTTGAGCTAGTACCTCAATAACCCACTTCTTGAGATTTTGACTGCACATATGGGAAGGATTCAAGTGTGTTAGTAAAAAATGAATTTGGTCAAAGATTAAACCCATGACTGGTTTAATTCAACATAAAGGTGTCTATAATTATAACCAATAGAAGTTGACATTTTTTAAGCAAAGTTGGAATTTTTTAAGTTTTGTTGTATGTGGTTTGTTTGAGATACAGGTTTTACTATGCTGGCATGGAACTCACTGAGGTCCCCCTTCCTCTAGAGTGATGGGATTAATGTGTGTACTACCACACTCAGCTTTACAAAAACATTTTAATGTGGATTTAAAAATAAGCATTAAACAGTTCACAATTTACCCAGAAATGAAGTATAAAATTTGTATATACCTATGAACTCATCATAACAATTTGCATAATTTCTATGTCCATCATCTTAGAAGCTAGACCCAAGATAAGAGAGACACATATAAAGACAATAATGAGAATCAGCAAGCCCAGCTTGACGTATATATTGTCTGCCTGTTTTTAATATAACAGAGGCAGAACTGAGTAGTTGCTGTGCCCTGTAGCCTAAGATGCTATCTGTGCATTTAAGAATCCTAGACAGTGTTTGTTTGTTTGTTTGTTTGTTTGTTTGTTTGTTTCTACTAATTATTTTCTGGGTTTTTTGTTTTGTTTTTAAATACATTAGCCTCCTCTCCCTTTATTTTCAGATTGCACAGTGTTTTCATTCTATGTTGATGATAGATCAAAAATTTATGGTTCCTGGGGCCAGTGAGATAGTTCAGCAGGTAAAGGTACTTGTCATGAAGCCTGAGGGAGGATTCCCAAGATCTATATAGTGGAAGGAGAGAACTGACTTCCACAAATTGTTCTCTGACCTCTTCATGAAGCCTGCGACATGTGTATGCCCCACCTTATACACAATTGTAATTATAAAGCTAGACATTTAATATAAGGTACTTAAAACATTTGGTTTTTTTAATTACTGAAAAAAAATATATTAACTCATCTTTTCTAAGATAGAATGAAATGTGTTTAATCTTTAAGTTGGTTTCATGTAAAGGCATACATCTATAAAATTGTGGATTTTGTTTCCAGATACATGTTAAAAAAACAACTCAGATAGTTCTTAAGGAACTGTTGCATTGAATTTATAGAAAACTGTCTAAGTGACTTCTTTTCACCAGTTAGGTCTCTTTTAGGCTCAACAGTTCAGCTAATTAGACTTGCTGAACTTCTTTACATCTAAGTAGATAAGTTGTTGGAGAATTTTGGCCTTATCACTGTGCAGTTAAAGAGGTTCTCAACTCTTCACTCATATCTGTATTAAATGTTTTTATTATAGAGGTTTCATTTTTTTTCTCTTATTTTTTTCTTTCTTTCTTCTATTTGTTTCTGTCTTTGAAGTAGAGTGTCACTGTGTAGCCCCAGCTGGCCTTCAAGTGTGATGATGATTCTTTTGCCTCAGCTTGCCACATGCTGGGCTTATAGACAGTAGCTACCATGCCTATTTTGTTGTTTGTTTAAAAGTGTTTCTCAACCTTCTTGATGGTTGATACCCCCTTATGTTGTGATTCCCCAACTGTAAAATTATTTTCATTGCTACTTCATACTGTAATTTTGCCACTCTTAGGAAATGTAAATATCCGTGTTTTCCGATGCTCTTAGGCAACCCCAGTGAAAGGGTCACTCTGCACCCCCTCTCCCCCAGGGTTGCAACTCACAGGTTGAGAACCACTAGTTTAAAAGACCATATTGTTATGAACTATGGTTCAGGCTGGCCTGGGACTCAAATCTTTCTGCCTTGGCCTCTTCTAAATGCTGATATTACAGGTACACATCCATGCATAGCCAGTTTATGTTGTGAGTTAATTTGCATAAAGCATACTTGTGAATAAAAATTTAGTTGACCTTGCTGACCTGTGGATTGTGACAGTTCCCAAGTATTTGGGATTGTAGTATGAAAGAAATACCAATAGTGAGTGAAATGTTTATCAAGGCTATAGTATACTGTTTTCACAAAGTTTGCCTCTTTTTAAAGCAGAAATTAAGAAGAAATGTGAACTTGTTAGAGAAGCTTGTTATGCAAGAGACTTTGTCATGTTTGGTGGTCAATCTGTATCCAGGAAACGAAGGATATTCTCTGATGCTCAGGGGGAAAAATGGATCAGGTAAGACCTTCTCAAGTATGCCTGATACAAAATACCTCTGCTTTTAAAGTTAGATGTTTAACTTTTAGTCAGAGATTGTCCTGATTAAAAGACAAATTCTTATTCTGTTTTTTCTCCTCTTGACTTTTGCTAGAATGGTTGACATTGTAGGGTGTAAATTAGCCTTCCTGAACTTGGATTTAAAAAGTATTATAATTGGTCGCGGCGGAGGAGAGGCAGGGTGGGGCCCTCCGCGGCCCCCGGAGGGAAGCTGAGGGACGGCCGCGCTCTGAGTCAAGGGCCGCCGTCGCTCGAGCTCCGGAGCGAAATGGTCGCCCGGGCCCAGGCCCAGGTCCAGGTCCAGGCCGCGGGGCCGCCGCGTGTCCCGTGAAGGGTCGGGCCGGGCCGGGCGGGAGCCACGCGGGGGAGAAGCAGCAGCAGCTGGGGTGCCGGCGAGCAGGAGACGGAGACACCTGTGGCCTCCCACCCCCGACGACGGCCCCTCTCCGGTCTGCAATCCAGGCCAATGTGCAATACCAACATGTCTGTGTCTACTGACGGTGCTGTAAGCACCTCACAGATTCCAGCTTCGGAACAAGAGACTCTGGTGAGACCGAAACCATTGCTTTTGAAGTTGTTACAGTCTGTCGGTGCCCAAAAGGATATTTATACTATGAAAGAGATTATATTTTATCTTGGCCAGTATATTATGACTAAACGATTATATGATGAGAAGCAGCAACATATTGTGTATTGTTCAAATGATCTTCTAGGAGATTTGTTTGGAGTGCCGAGCTTCTCTGTGAAAGAGCACAGGAAAATATATACAATGATCTACAGAAACTTGGTGGTTGTAAGTCAGCAAGAGCCTGCAGACTCCGGCACATCCATGAGTGAGAGCAGGTGTCAACCTGAAGGTGGCAGTGATCGGAAGGACCCTGTGCAGGAGCCACCAGAAGAGAAGCCTTCCTCTTCAGATCCAGTTTCCAGACCGTCTACCTCATCCAGAAGGAGAGCAGTTAGTGAGACAGAAGAAAACGCAGATGAACTACCTGGTGAGCGACAGAGGAAGCGCCACAGGTCCCTCTCCTTTGATGAAAGCCTGGCTCTGTGTGTGTTACGGGAGATATGCTGTGAAAGAAGCAGCAGCAGTGAGTCCACAGAGACCCCCTCAAACCAGGACCTTGATGATGGTGTAAGTGAACATTCAGGTGATTGGTTGGATCAGGATTCGGGTTCCGATCAATTTAGTGTAGAATTTGAAGTTGAGTCTCTTGACTCAGAAGATTACAGCCTGAGTGAAGAAGGGCATGAGCTCTCAGATGAGGATGATGAGGT